ATTTGTTTCATTAGGCGCCGACCAGTCAAAGCCTTTTCCTGAGGCCAGCGACATTGATAGATCGGATTTTCACCGTGACCCTTTTTTTGCCTTGGGTGCAGGGCCAGGGTGGTGGATCGTTGATACACAATCGGGTTTTTGGAGGGCAGGGGGTTAAAGTTGGCAAAGAAAACTTCCCGTGTGGGCCGGCATCGATTCTTCTCTCTTTTTTTTTCGTCATGGAAGAAAGGCGTGTTGGTGAATGTCAACCATTTGACGTGGCAAAAGTTTTTTGCAAAAAAAAAAAGAGGGGCGATGTGGACAAAGGTGGGACTGTCGTCTTGTTTTCTTGATGCTATAAGTGCTGGTCGGACAGATTTGGCGAGTCTGCTGGCTTCCTCAGTTTGCGATAAAATTGGATCCCGGTTGGGGGGTCTTTTTTTTTTGCCAAAGAAAGACGGGGAAAAAAGGGGGGGTTTCGCGAGGGCATCTTGGAGTTCACGAGTTATACGAAGCAGTGAAGTAAATGCTATGCAATATCATGCGAGAGTTCTCGGGTGTGGTTTGAAAAATGATGCGCACGCCGGGGTGCGGCATTCCTTGTTGCGCCTCTGGGCTTCTTTGAAATTCTAAAACGACGACTTCGTTTTCATGTCTTTATATCCGACAACGAGGTACAGTACTTGCGAGGTTTATTTATTTTTTTACATATTTTTATTTCCTTGCGTTGTTTTGACACCGACTGGGTTAGGTTGCCTCCTCGGCAATATCTTAGGGCCTGCATCTCGTTTGTGGGGCGTTGTTTGAATTCTTTGCGGGGGCCTGCGGGTGGTTAATCTTTTCCGTCGAGTCATGGTACCTGGTTGCATTTATTCATTTTTTAAATTTGTTTTCTTTTCTTTTTTGACGAAGAAATTCTTGGCGAGGCCTCTTCGTCGTCTGCTTGGGGACCAAATAAAAAGAGTAACTTGAGGCGGATTCCTCCGCCAAGTACACAGTTAATTGCGTCGAGACTTCCGCTGTTGCGGCGAATGTTTGTTCGCAGAATAAGAACTCTTCAAGTCACTGTTATTTTATTGATTTTGCTCTGGTTTCAAGTGGAAGTTGACCATGTTGACGCTAATATCAGCACAGCGAATTATGAATTTCACGAGGTTGAAGTTCTTGCATTGTACAGTACACATGATCGCGCTAGGTTTTTGATTTTCAGTTGGTAAAAAGATTGAAGTGGCGTGGACGAACATTTATGTTGGGAATAAACTAGAGAAACCCCAGGAAATTTCTTGGGTGCTTATTTTGTAGTTGCAGGATTTTATCTGTCTTTCTTGGGTTCTTCTGACTTTATACACGTGAGCATCCGCTTTATGCGGCCAAGTTTTTCGGGGCATCTTTGGAGGTGCTGCATATAAACGTGTATCTGTATACCTTATAAAAAATGGAGTTTTCCTATTTTTTATTGAATGAATCTTCTCGGTTTAGAGCTTGGAAATTATGGTAAGACATTTTCCGTCGAGTCATGGTACCTGGTTGCATTTATTCATTTTTTAAATTTGTTTTCTTTTCTTTTTTGACGAAGAAATTCTTGGCGAGGCCTCTTCGTCGTCTGCTTGGGGACCAAATAAAAAGAGTAACTTGAGGCGGATTCCTCCGCCAAGTACACAGTTAATTGCGTCGAGACTTCCGCTGTTGCGGCGAATGTTGTTCGAAGAATAAGAACTCTTAAAATCACTGTTGTTTTGTTGATTTTGCTCTGGTTACAAGTAGAAGTTGACCATGTTGACGCTAATATCAGCACAGCGAATTATGAATTTCACGAGGTTGAAGTTCTTGCATTGTACAGTACACATGATCGCGCTAGGTTTTTGATTTTCAGTTGGTACAAAGATTGGATTGGCTTGGACGAACATTCATGTCGGGAGTAAACTAGGGAAACCCCAGGAAATCTCGTGGGTGCTTATTTTGTAGTTGCAGGATTTTATCTGTCTTTCTTGGGTTCTTCTGACTTTATACACGTGAGCATCCGCTTTATGCGGCCACGTTTTTCGGGGCATCTTTGGAGGTGCTGCATATAAACGTGTATCTGTATACCTTATAAAAAATGGAGTTTTCCTATTTTTTATTGAATGAATCTTCTCGGTTTAGAGCTTGGAAATTATGGTAAGACTCATGGTATTTTATTTTTAGGATATTTCGTGGGCATCCGGCAGAGTTCAACGTCTGTGAACTGCAGAGGGATAGAATTGCATTTTTTATTTGATAAATATTTTCTGATAAATTCAAATGTTTTTCAAATTCGTGATTTTTTTGTTTGTTTTTGTAACACTATCATAGAGTCAGTTATATTTTGAAAATTGGTGCGACGGATTTGGATAGAAGCATTCGCATGGAAGATTCTTTTTGAAAATGCTGTTTTCTTCGGTTCGAAATCGGAGGAGCTGTGGTGTACTTTTTTCATTTTTGTGGAAGAAGGCCTATACTTGGCGGATTTTTTTGGTGTGGCTGATGAACTTACTGTCCGTAACGGAGAACCCCCCACTGAGTTGAGCGGAAGGATGTCGGGAGGAATTTAGTTCGGACGATTACGCGAAAAACGCGTTCGTTATTGCATGGGAGGTATCCTTAAAACTGAGAGGATGTTTCCGTTTCTCCTTCCGTGTGGGAAAACGGTGAGAAAAATGCCGCGGAACGCCCATCGTTACTGTGGGTAAAAATTTCGCTCGCGGCTCTGGGTTCACGGTTCGAAACCCAGCATTTCGTCGCTTGTCGCGGACCCGTTCCTCTATTTTCCGTGGGTCCACCTTGAGGGGATTTTTTTCTTTTTCAAGGCCTCACGCGATGGGTGCAACGCTTTGGAAAAGTTCATCCCTTAGTCAGCCCCCCATTTGCCCACATTAGTCAAACGCGGGAAGGGAACTTTCCTAAAGCTCTAATAAAACCAAAAAATTCTCAAGGAAACAAAAAATTGTTATCCCTCGTTGTTCCAGAGCATCGCCATTGGTTCGGAAATTTGTCAAGATGGAAAGGATTATTCCTTCTTGCAGTGAAATACATTATTACGAAAATTTGTGATGCAGTATAATTTTTTCTTATCTTGATTCACGGCAAATCAGAATTTTTTCTTGGATTCCGATGGGAAATGCTAGTCTGTGACGTGACCCAAAAGATGTGCGCAAAGTCAAAATACTGTATCTTGAAAATTGTTCATCTATTTATACAAGATGAGAAAACATTCAAAACTTGAATTGGAGTTTCAGCATTATGAACACATGTGCTCTATAGAAAACCCTTCTAAAATTGAGTTTCTGTCGCCGAATAACAGCAATTGACAGCTCGACTTGAATTTGCCTGGAAACCTTTTTTCCAGATCGGAGGCAATCATGGTGACTCTCACGATTAGGTGACGTGGTCCTATTTTCGCGTGACTAATATATTTTGCTTTGAACAATGCGTGCTACGTAAGACATGAAAAATAAAATTGAATGAAAAAAAGAGATTATTTATTAGGAACCCAGCCTCGTATTTGCCTTCAGGGATGGAAGAGGCTGGGGCTTCTCTCAACGTCATGGAGTGAGTAGGAAATGGGCACTTGTGTGTGCCGCTCTTCGTCGTTTTGCGCGGCCCTCGTTAGCTCTTGATAAACCTGGCATGGCGGGGGGTTTATTCTGGTGGGAAAAAGGAGTCGCAGGGCGTGAAGATCCGGGTTAATGCGTTGGGGAGATGAGACGCGAAATTAACAGGTTGCTTCCGGTTTTGGGCTCGGGATGCCGCGAGACAGCCTCGGTCATCACTCAGCTCTCGGTCGAACGCAGCTGGTGCCCTGGGAGACAAAATTCACCTTGCTGCAAGCTTCAATTAGCGTCTGGGCTATTTTCTTTTCTGGGGTTCCCTTTTACACAGTCTTTTTTTTTTTATGTGTGTTCCTTCATCATCGCTTCGGTGCTGTGTTGAAAGGCTGCGAATTACAGCGTCATTGCATTTTTTAATAGCAAGTTCGATGGAGCGTTTTCCCCCAAAAGTCGGTGATTCATGGCGTCCCGCTGGGAAAGAGAAATTTCCCTTGAAGAGATGCTGTATTTTTGAATTACTGCACTGAACTGGGCATTTTATGTGTTGCTGAAGACCGTGACGCAATTAACTCGGAATAGAGCATCTCTAAATGTTGGGAATCCTAAATGATAAAAAAAGACTAATACCTGAGGAAGAGTAATTTAAGCTCCAGTGATCACTTTTGCATTCGCATTATCCTCGTATCCCCAATGTCTTCGAACTTAATTATTGAAATTTTACTAGAGCACATTTACGAATCTAGGAGAAATGGAGAAAGGTTCATGGCTACGAAGATATCGGACAGAAAAAATTCACTTTAATTTTTTCCTTAGACCCTCTGCTTGAGAAAAAAACAACATTTCGATCGCGAATTTTTTGTCAAGGCCCGGATATTTTGGATTATTCAAAACTGTTGTCAGAATTTTAGATGAGAAAGGATTTCTATTATTGATAACCGAAATCCGTTCGTTTTTGAAGGACAAGTTATTTTTCATCAATTAACGATTCTTCATAAGGAGAGCAAACAATTTCAGCGATGAAAATCTTTCGATGGGAACATGCTTTTAAAACTTTGAGATCAGTGGTCATATTTACTCCACGAAAAATGATTTGTAACCATCTGCATTCATTCAACAGTACCCCAAGTGAATTTTTAAACCAACTTTTGCGTTTCAAGATTAAGAATTGACGATGCCACGTGAAACTATGTCAGACTGATGTATTCCTTCCTCTTCTTCTTCCCAATTTGAATTTCAGGAGGACCAGAGAGTAGTGGAACTTGTAGCCAAGTACGGCCCGAAGCGATGGACGTTGATCGCCAAACACTTGAAAGGCCGGATCGGGAAGCAGTGCAGAGAACGCTGGCACAATCACCTGAACCCGCACATCAATAAAACTGCATGGACGGAAGACGAAGACGAGATCATTTACAAGGCCCACCTGCAATGGGGAAACCAGTGGGCAAAAATCGCCAAGCTTCTGCCTGGACGGTGGGTTTGCGCAACTTTCTCGCTGCAATTGATGCGTTTGAGGCGGACGCAAACTATACTTCGGGGCTGTGTGTGTGTGGGGGGGCTTATGTATTGTAGAAATAAGCTGAGCCTTTTTCCTGGTTTCTTGCTTTACATGAGCGAATTGTTTTTTTTCTTCTTTTTTTTTTTCTTTCTTATCTGTTCGCCTCTTGTGTGAGGATACTCATTTGGGTCATGTTAACTGAGGACTTTCGGTCGAGGATTGATGTGACTTGAGAAATTCCGGCTGGGAACGATTTGTCGCTCGTAATTTTGCGGCGTTGCTGGGTTTCAGCCTTTCCTCGCAGTATTTCTTTCTTGCGACATCGACCAGACTCGAACTTTGACGTATGATAGAAAAAACAAGTTCTTCGCCCGTCATTATTGTCTTGTCTTGCGAGAATTTCTTACACTCGACTGGAAATTTCAATCTTGGGGAATCTCGTATCGAAATTTAGTATGCATTTTCCTCCATCTACGCTCACTCAACAGAAAAAAAAATAATAATTTGGTTTAGTCTGTCGAACAATTTACTAACCTTGATGTCCCATTTGCTTACAGAACCGACAATGCCATCAAAAATCACTGGAACTCCACCATGAGGAAGAAATACGAGGGAACCGTCTCAGTTCGCGTCAGGAAATCCAGGACGAGCAAGAAGAAAGCAGTCGCACGTGTTGATTCTTCGACAGAGGTATTCACAATCGTTGATGTCTTTCCTTCAGCATTTTGAAAGATGCTTTACGCATGATGTATTTAAGCGAGTGTTTTGTTGTTGCAAGAAAAAGCTGAAAAATCCTAAGTAGCGCTGGATTTTAATATTGTATAAATTAAAATTGCTGCCAAAATTTGTCTTGAATTTTAGCCGAGCATGTTGCCGAAATCTTGATCATGTTTATGACAACTTTTTCCTTCGCGAAATGCTCGGCAGGATGAGCTGAGAGAATTTCTTCCCGTTTTCGAATTCGAGTACTGTACTATATTACAGAATTTTGAACGCTGAGAGGCTACATTTAGACCAAGCCATTTTCAACGCAGATTTATGCAAATCGTTGGCCTCGAAACGCTCATGTGCTAAAAGCAAATTTCAGACTAGATGGCTTTTCGATTGAAGTTATTTGCAGTGATGGTGAATTGAGCTTATTTTACGGGGATTTTTTTTATTTGGAAAATTGTGTTCTGGCTGCTTTCATGCAATGGTAATAATTTTGAGAAAACGCAGTTGTATTGTTCGACAGCATGTTTCTCACTTGGAGCATCGTTAAATTTTTTCCGAATTCCCCTTTTTTGTTCTGTACTGTACTTGATTTCTGATGAAATTTGTTCTGATGGAGATGTTGTTTCGTCTCGCAGGGGTATTCACAAGCTTCGGACGACCAAAGAGTTATGAGTGCATTAGGTTCAGCGTCGACAAGTCACGTGTATTCCACTCCGTATCCATGCACGCCGTCGCCGTCGTCGACGAGCTCCGCGGATGCTGCTGTCTATGCCCACCATTCGGGCTACGAAACCATTCAAAAGCACCAGCAGCATCATTACCAACGGCTTCAACACCACCAAAGCCATGTGGCGACACATGCGATGCACCAGTATGCTGTACAAAGTCACCCACCGACACCAGTGTACGTTGGCGAACAAGCGTCGTCGTCGCAGTCCGACTGGCATCAGCCGTCGTCCGAATATAGCGTCGAAGAAGGAGAATCCATGTACAAAATTTTACCTTTGGAATCCCACGAAGAGGCTGCGCAGACGTCGCCGTCCAAGAGCAGCTATTTTTTGTCTCCGTTCAAGTTAGTTATTGTCTGATTTCCTGCCTACTTTTCTTTTTTGAGAAGTCAAGAATAAATCCGGAAACGCTGGAATAATTTGAAAGGGAAAACTTGAAGCTTCCATATGGGATTCGTTTTCATTCGTAACTATCGTTCTTTTGGTTAAAAAAAAATATTTTAATCTGCTCCTGTTCAAACTTGCGGAGAGATTTTTTGAAAGGAAGAATAAGTTGTTATAAGTTGAATCTTCGAATTCACTCTATCCACGCATTCGAAGGGTCGTGTTTTATTCGTCAGCCGTATCTGGTAAATTCTGTTACCTTTTTTATTTTCCTTCCAGTTTCCGAATCGTGCAAAAGAGAAAAATTATGAGTTTAACGTGAAGTCAATTTTTCCCACGTCAGAAGACCTGTTTCCTAACTATGCTTACTGGAATTTTCTAGATCAATATTGATGTGGGATCCGAAGAACCCGGGTGCGATGTCGAATGCAAAGATGGCGTTGGATTTCGACAACGTGAAAACAGAACCCTTGGATGACTCCGTTGTTGAACGACTTTCCCAATCGGAAAATGAATCCTGGCGTTTCAGGGATGACGAAGGCGTTGGGCTTGTCACAACTCTGTCCTTTTCACCTTTGGCTTCGACTCAGAGAAGCACACCAAAGGAACTTCGGAATAATGGTGAGATTTTCGATAATGGCGCTGTTGATCATGTTCGAAAGAGGACTCCGCGGTATTTGCTTAATTTTTCTTGCGGTAGAATTGAGCGTGTTCTGTGTAAACGAAAAAATGTTGAGGGGGTTTACGATGTACGCCGATGACTTCTTTATTCTGCGTATCGAAGTTTTTAAAATCTCATTCGCGAGTAAGTCCTTTTCAAAATTGCGGCCATTTTATGAGGTCGGCTTTGCGCAATTCTTGTTCTTGGGTGTTTATTGTCTGCAAGAGGTCTGTGATCTTGGGGAGGTCCACGTGTGGTTCTTGTGGATAATCCCTCAACGGCTGCATTACTTGCACTTGCACATCAGCGTTTTTCAAGTGTTGGTCGTTGTGGATTGCTGGCGGAACATCAGGGTTTTCATGGTGTCGTTCCCCCCCAGCTACCATGTGAGCACATACGGGATGAGCCCTTGTTATTGGTGCTGGTGGTGGTGGCGGCGGAGGTGCGCACGTGGTAGGGACGGTGCATGTCTCCTGCACACGTGGTAACGCTACGTGCATTGGTGGGGCTGGCACGTGAACGTCCGTTGGCGGTTCTGTTGGCGGGGTATTCGTTTCGTGGCAAACTTCTGGTGCTCGGGTCGTCGTGGGACTAACGCATTGCTGCCCGTTGAAAAGGTGTTATAAATAAAAATAGGAAGGGTCAAGTAGGATGCAGTGAGAAAGAGAGTTCTGTTTCGAAAATTTTGAAATGACCGAGCGGAGTTTAAATTGTAATACACTATCCTTTTCTACTTTTCATCACGTCACCTTTTGAAGACGTGCTATCCACGTTCTTGGAAGGAGCTGTTTGAGGAAACTGTATCCCGTTGCAAAAACGCGACTCATTTATTAAAGATTAAAAACGGAACAAAATAGGAGAACCCCGTCACATGTGTGAGTACCCAGTGGGTAGAACAACAACGGAATGTTGTTCATGAACTGCAACTTTCGTAAATTTATTTTAACGACTGTGAAAGTCGGAAAGGTCAAATTTCAGACCCTGGGTGAAAACTGAGTCGTAAGACCCGAAATCACTTAATATTGTCGTACTTAGTTTTTGTTACCGTTGAAAAAGTTTTGCTCAAAATGCGTTGCGTGCAACAATTTTTTTTCTCGTATGGCCCGCGTCCAAGTTTTGCTTACTTACCTGATTTCCTGCCAACGGTTTCGTGATCTCTATCCTGGCTTGTTTGATGTGTAAACCTGAAATCCAACGGAAAAAAGAAAAATGTTTACAATATTTCATGAAAATTTGGCATTGCCCTGGAGAAAATGATGACTTTACCTGCTCCGCCTGCATGTTGTGGGTGTGGATGTCCATGTCCGGGCATTGGATGGGGGGGTCCTCGGTCCATTCCGGGGTGTCCTGGCGCTGGGTGTGGGTGTGCTGGCGCTGGGTGTGGGTGTGCTGGCATTGGGTGAGGGTGTGCTGGCATTGGGTGAGGGTGTGCTGGCATTGGGTGAGGGTGTGCTGGCATTGGGTGGTGTGGTTGGTGAACAGCTGCTCAAATAAGTCGTATCAATTATGAAATATGATGTAGAAGTAATGTGCTCCTAACTGATCAACACAGCTATAAATCAAAATATTGGTCGAATAATCTGTGGTTAACGTGAAACGTTGATCAAAATTGCCTTTTTTCGATGGCGTCTGCCAAAGAAAATCTTGATCAATGAGAATTCGGGTAATGATCCTGCAAGATAGCTGGGAATGGTGACGCGAAAAGTTTGCCCGACATTTCTAGCTATTGCATTATCTATTTTTTACAGCGTTTAATTTTGTCTAAAAAGTTCGTAAATTACTTCGTTTCCCACCGAAATACTGTAATTTAATTTGAAGATGAGCGTCGAAAGAATTCTGAGGCATGTTCAAAAAATCCAAGGTTGCTGAAGTATTTTCAAATGCTGCAAAACTCGGTATAAATCAACCTAGAAGAAAAATTAAATCATTTTCTAACATCCTGCGCTTTGGAATGTATTTTGAGTTCGAATCTGAAAAACGATTTATACAGCCTGTTCAAGAAATGGTCATCCCTGAATTTTAAAAAATGTAGCTTGTTTTACATTAAGTAACCAAATGAGCTGATTCTGGTGTACATTGATGTACAGTACTGTAAACAATATTGGAATTGCAGAAATATTGTCGTTTCGCTGTAGACAAAATTGCCTTCGAAAGTCCATCTTTTTAGGTCACGCACTCGAAATAAGTCTTCTGCGGATTATGTTTCGAGCAAAAAAAAAAAACTAAATTTGACTGAATGCGTTCGATATGTGGTACCAATACTGTAGAATAATCTTTGAGGACTTAACTCGGTATCATGTAAAATCTGCGAGAAAAACATGAATTTTACTCCAGTCTTTCTCATCTTCTGTTCAGGATATCCGACACTCATGTCTATATTTTTTCTGTCTGTCGAAAGAAAGATTGTTGATCTCTAATTCTCAAACGATGGGAACGCTATTCTTCGGAAACTCGGCAGGTTTCCTCGTATGCAGTTTTTTACTTGTATAAATACTGTACTGGTAAAAATTTGTATGTGCGGCCTATACTTGCAAGGGGATTTTAGTCTCGTTGAGATATGGCAATATCCAGACTTTTAGTTTCCTGGAAATATGGTACTGTTTTACCTGAGCCAGCCCCTCCGGCATGCACTTCAATGATCGCTTGTTTCACATGTGGGTGTGCAGGCTCAGGTTGATTCCGTGCAGGATGATGCGGTGTCTGGCAGCCAGGTTGAGCCTGATGAGGAAAATGATCTGGGGACTTGAGCAACGTTGGTGGCTTTGGATTGACTTCATCGGCAAACACTTCGTCTTTCGAAGGTGTAAGGCCCGCGTTGCCAAATTGTTCTTGGTCAGAGAACCCGGTGTTCGGGTCTTTGTCCAAGTTCTTCGGGATGGCGACGAATCGGTTATGCTTGAATTTCTGCGAAGCGCTCGGTTCGAATTGCTGTGCAAGTATTTCGCCTTTCTGCGCTTTGTCTGCGAGTTTTCTGGATTCCGGCCACTGTTCAGCGGGTCCTCCTTGAGCTGGATTGGCCACGACCCCAATGATCATGTTCTGATCTGCTGATTGAAAAGGAATAATGTTTGCAGCACGACCTCGTGGGAAAAAAAATGACGCAAACTTTCGAACATAACACTCACCTATTTCTGATTGACCAGTCGGAAAACTGGAAACGCACAAGCTCAAGAGCCAGAACTGAAAAATTTGCAAGAACAACATGTTCGTTTGCTGACTTCGGTGTATTTCGTTTTAGAAAGAAGGTATTGACCGCGTTTGCGTTCAACACACGATTGATACTCAGTCCCGGAGAGAAGCTGACTTATAGCGAATCGGCGTCGTCCCGCAATCTCGCTCTTTTTATATTGAATTAACCAATAGAGTCAGTGATCAAAGACGGCTGGGTTCGAATTATACGTCCTCCGTTATTTTTAGATTTATAACTTGATTTTGGCTGGAGAAAATGCATTGAGAGCGACGGGGACTGTTCGGAGCGCAAGTTTCTGAAAGGGGGAATGATTCGTTCCGTGGGAACGTTTTAATTCATCAACCCTTTTTTAAATGAGCGACTGTGTGATGAAGGGGGCAAATTGATTCCGTGGGATAATTTCTATGCATTAATCGCCGAGGGTTGGTTTTTGGTTAGGTGTGTTCGCGATTTCTTTTTCTCTTTTTTTTTTCTTCTTTCTGTTCTTGGAGATTTTAATCTGGTGCACTAGAATTCTCTTTCATTGTTTTCTGGAGATTCGAAGGATTTACTCTTTGTTTCTCGGCTGCTGTTTTACGCGGAGGATTTGAGTTTGTCGGGAACAACAACGCGTTCATTGAAAAATAAATTAATATGAAGATCTAATAGTTGATAGAAATCCTTAGGGAGAACTTTGAAGTGTTTTCGTGGAACTAATCGTCGTGTTCTTTGGACGTGTATTCTTTTCGCGTTGAACTGTGCTTCGTTTCTTCGTGTTTGTGAACTTACAAAAGCTTTTTTTTTTTATTTGTGGACTATTTTTGTAAGTGTGTTATATGATAGGGATCTATAATTTCGATGATTCCGTGGAGTGCGAGGGATTGGTGTGAATTTGTGATTAATTTTTCCGTGATTTCAGGGTCTTTGGAAGTTCCGAACTCATCCCTGGACACTCCACCGGTCGCTTCGATGCACGACTACCTGAGTTTCAGTCGTCCGGAAGACGATTCCGGCTACACATCAAATGCCCGATTGTCAACAGCGTCCGCGTCCTCCCAAGCCAGCACGCCGAGTATTCTTCGTCGTGGCGCCGCTGCCTGGCGCCGTCCCGGCGCCCGCCAGCGTACCGACAGCACCGCGACAGACCAAAGTGGATGTGAAGACGACCTCGGGGCGTCCGGCCCGTCGGGTTCGTCGTTGTTGTCGGGAGCCAAGCCTACGGGTTTGAACGTGACCCCCAAGTCTCGGGTGGATGATGAGAACTGCGCGCCGCCTTTGCGGCTGATTGACCCCGAGGGATTGCGGTCACCCGGCGGTACTCCGAGGACCCCGACGCCGTTTAAGAAGGCCTTGGCGGAACTGGAGAAGAAGGGCGGTCGTGTCACGTTCACGGTATGTATATATTGAAATTACTATGACCGATTGTGCATAGAATTCTGTTGGAGTCGCAAGTTTCTTGTATACTCGAAGATAATCAGGGTCCCTGGGAGTGATGTGTTGTGCCGAGAATATCGTTGCTAAAGAGCTCAGTTTCTTTATAGATGTGCTGAGATTATTTTATTTTACAAAGTTTTTTAGAGTAGTATTGAAAAATAAGTTTACATCAAATTATTATGTGTGGGTTGAAAAAATGCTCAGGTTTGGTCAGGGTATTTCATTTTATGCTAGATACATTTTGGTCAGTTTGGTGATCCGGGGGACACCTACCTACCTTGAAATCTGAGGGATAGGAAATTTATCCCTTATTTTAAGTGATGACCCAAAATTAAAAGAAAAAATTAGCTGGGGCGAGAGGAGAGAACCACAGCAATACAAATTTATGTACAGTAAGTAATTTGTGGTCAATGCAAGAATGTATTAATTTTAGGCGAACGTTAAATGCCCCTGTGTTCCAACATGATCTCGTATTGGGCTGCATGACAAAAGAAGATACATTGTCTTGAACCCATTTCCGAATAAGTAATGCAGGTATACTCTATTCACAACGATTTTGTCTACAATAAAATTCTCTCTACAACTATTTATTTTCGGTTCCCTTGAATCGAGAGAGTCCGCCTGTATTTTGCTGTTTTCGAATTCCTTCGGAAAAATTAACGGATTTGTATGTTAACCACATCTGATAATGCAAACTTATATGTCATTTCGAAGAATCCAAACCTCAACCTGGCTCTTGATTGACTATAATTAAATTTCCGAAATTTCAGGGTGGAAGTCCGTCGAACCTAGTGGACGATATCCACGAGATAATCCGGAAGGAGTCGGAGCGAGAACGAACAGGATGCTCTGTGTCGTCGAGTCGGGGCGGGTCTTACTCTCCGTACACGCGACGAGCTCTCGGAATGAGCAACAGTCCCAACACGTCACCCAACAACACCCACCACCAGCACCCGTCACTTTCTGGACGCCGTGGTTGTTATGGCAAGGAGAACAGCGGTTGTTCGCCGCCTATTAAACGTGCCCGCAAGTCGCTCACTGAGTCGTTGTCTTCGCCGGAGCCCAAGCACCTTGTTGATCTTCAGTTTCCGCCCATCTTGACGCCGGAAACTCCGGTTAGCATTTGTTGTTTTTTGCTAATTTTTGAAGTACTGTACTGTATCACGTGTATCAATCGGGAAGCGTGAACATAATAGCGAAGAAGTGCGACTTGAAACGAAAAACTCAAGTTTATCTTGAACGTTTGAAATTTCGAGAAAGCTAAATTTTCGGTTGCATGATACGTTCAGTCGATGAATTGAAAATACGTCAGCTGCGAATATCTGAAGTATCAAATGATACATTCGTGAAGTTCCTAAGTACGGGCTTTTAACTGCCTTAGAAAACCGTCCTATCAGATGATTATGGTATTCGGGAGTTTTGAGAATTCATAGTTGTGACGTTATGAATTGTTCTAAACTTGACTTTTTAAAGATGTCAAGAATAATCCTTGAGCCAATGTTCTGAAGAATTTGTTGATACATTTTTACTCGTTGGATTTACATGTTTCAAAATTTCAACGCGTTTGTTATGTATGTTTCCAGAGTCGGAGCTTTGATTTGGGACGTGATGGAGAATTCACTCCGACTGCACTCCTTCTGAAAGACAACGTAGGATTTTTGCTGGATTCTTCTGGTCCGTCACCGATGACTGGATTACCTTCTTCTGCGAGAAGATTCGATCAGATGCTTCAAAGACAAGCTGTTTCCTATGGCCATCAGAGAACTCAGTCTGTGCATGGAGAACACCATGACCCCAATCAGCAGCAGAAAGTGAGCAAAATATTTCATTATGTGTCGGATGTGTCGATGATTACCATGTTCTTGAGCTAGAAACCTAAAATGTATATGTTCCATGAGACATTTTGATCGATGTAAATACTGTATTGTACTGTAAATTTTAAAAATTGTTCATTATTTCAGTTTTTGTAGATGTCACTGGCAGTCAGATTATCATTTTACTTCATTCCGAGTCTGTTCAAGTTGCCAATACTTCTGAATTCCTCGCGTGGACTTGAACATTGAATGGGTTTTCGTTCAATTTTATGAAATACGGGTACAGTAGTTGGGAAGTTTCCCTGTTCGAAGAATTTCTGAAACTTTTCCAAATATTCACCACGTTTTTCATGCCCTCGTGTAGTATCACCGATGGATTTTTGTATCAATCGGGGAGTAAATTTTTTGCCCTCCCTGTTCATTGCATTGTTAGGTGAATCTGGAAAATCGATTTCTTATTTATGTGGGAATTTTCTTGTCCTTCAGTCGATGGACTTCCGTCGTTGGGAGATGGTGACGTGTGGAAGAACACTGGAGCAGTTGGAAGTTACTGAGCAAGCTCGGCAGATTATGAGCATGAACAACCAGCGGCAGCACGGGTTCCCCGCATCGGCAGCATCGTCGCCGGTGCCGACAGCGATGCCATCTAGTTCCGGTGATCATCCTCCAGTTCTTCGACAGCTGTAGAACCACGTCCTAATTGGAGGAACCGAGAAATTGTTCGGAAGAAAGTTTTGCTAGTTTCTGACGCGAAATAATTGCGAGTCGTCTGTGTTGTTTTCGAGAAGTGTAGTATCATTTTTGATCCCCAGTAAACTTGGAAAGGATAGGGGACCTTTTTTTGTGTGTCCAGTTAGCGAGAGAATCGAGATTGAAATTGACCTTCGGACGTCGTTCCGCCAGCGAAAAATTCAGGCATAGAGCATTTTTTTTAAACGCGAAGTTGATGTTTGAGAGAAAGAGAGGCTAAAGGAGTAGTTTTTTCATTGAATTTGATAAACTTAGTTTGTTCTTGTAATTTTTCACAGTACTTTTATATCATCTTCGTATTTTCCGATCTCGAAAAATCTCATGGTTGTGGAGTTTTTTTCCCCCACCGACGGGATTTCCGAAAAATCAAGAGCATTTCTTGTGATTACAAACGTGGTCTCGCATATTTGCATACCTTTTTGAATACTACATCTACCGTCCTGTCGTGATCTTTTTTTCCTTCGGTTTTTACGGTAAAACGGTGTTGTGCTCGTTGTTCTCCGCCGATTCGGAATTGCGTTTTACCTCACATGGCGTTGGTGTGCGTGGTTTGAAGATGTAGTATGACTGAGAATCGGATACTTCCACTTGAGCCAAAGGAAGAATTTTTGGAGCTGAATGAAGGACGGATTTTTGTGGGCAAAAGTACTTTTTTGAAGAGCTTTTTCTTGGTTCCTTAGGTTTTTTTTTTCTTTTTTGTTTTTGAAAGAGAGGATGGAGTACTATGTTTGTACGAAGGTTTTTGTTACCGGTTTTGAGAAATTTTCGAGGAGAAAAGGAATCGAATTTGGCGTGCTCCAACTTGTGTAAATCGATGAAGCTGTTTCTTTTTGGCGTGCTTTTTTGTATGCCCCACCAACCCACCGTTATTTTCCCCGAGTTTTTGTGAAGTGTGGATTTTTTTTTCGGGTCGAATTAACAACACCGCATTTATTTGAAATCGGGGTTTTCATTCATCGCTTTAATGAGCCGATATACATCGTAGATCATATTAATTTTTCCCTTTTTTTTTTCAGCTTTTGGCCTTCTGGGTCTTTGGTTTCCTGGAGCGTTTTGTTGCCTCGGGTTCGAGGATCGGATCGTTCCCCGGAGTTCAGTTACGCCGTGGACTCGATGCATGATTGCGTGAGGAACCGTGTTGCGTGAGTAAGGTTGCCTTTTTCCTCCTGCTTCAGGCTCGGGTTTCCTCACCACACTGGCCGCATCTGGCGTCGCGGAGTCTGCTTGGGTTAGCAGGTGTGGGTTGCACGGCCTTGTACGAGCTCGAATCTCTAAAGCAGCGATGCTTGTTGCCGAGGCAATTGAGTCGGGATTTCTGATTACGCTGTTGCTGTATACTGTTACCCGTCAACACGCGCAATGGAAATATTAAGGGTCGAAAATTAAAGTTTAGGAGAAGGTTGTGATGGGATCAAATCGTCCGGTACTGTACGAGGGAATGAAACTGTGTTGGGTTCTTGAGCGTAGTTGGGAGGGATAAATGCTACTTAATTTATATATTGTTTTCAACCGGTTTTAATGTAAAATTCTTGAAAAAATTGCAGTAATTTTTGATAAACAGTACAGTAGGTGCCCGCATAACGAAACTAATGCATTCCTGGATGTGTTTCGTTCTGCGGATTTTTCATGATGCGGAGCAAGATTTCCCCTGAGAATAAGTTGCAAAAATTTTAATTCGTTTCCAAGTTCTCAAATTTGTTGGTAAAAATTACTTCTTTTAGAAATTTCCCGCGTAAATTCAAATGCTTTTCCTTACGTGAATTCAGGTTGAAAAATTTGTTCGTTTATGGTTTAGCATTTACTGGACTTACTCTGTTAATTCTGTATTTTGACCATCAAAATTTACTCACGAAATAATGTATTCATTCCGAATCAACAAATCATAGTTATGTAAGCCTTAAATTGTTTGTGGAGCTTTGCTTTAGCATTGGTGTTGATGGAATCTATGGAAATACAAAATATTTATTACATTTTTAAAGAGTTTTTTGCGCTTGAAAAAGCGAGACATCGAATGTTTTACAATATCCGGACTGTGTGTAAAAATGGCCATGTCTCATCCCTAACGAAATGCTAGAATTTTCCTTGAAGACCATTTAACGAAACACTGGAAGGCAGATAAAATTATTATTTTCCTCATTCCTGCCATTTTGTTCCTACAAACCGTTGTCCCAACCTTCGAACGTAAAGCGCTTTTCGTATCACTCCATGTATGAAAGTTCGTTTGAAGGCATAATACGTACTGTATTCCTTTATTTTCGCGATGGGTCGAACTGAAGAACTGAATGATGAACAAAATATAGTTCTTTTTGTCGTCAACAGAAAATTTGCACAAGTGAGATCCTCCCTGGAATTTATGAAGTCTGGTTGATCAATTGCGTAACTAACGCTGAAATTATTCAAATTTCATGCCAGAATCCGAAGCGCGCGTCTGTGCGTGTATCGTATTCTCTCAAGTCTAATAAAACTGACCAGGTGTCGAAGATGACGGCACTCGATTTGGAAAAAAGGACAGTAATGCATGTACTTTTTCACAATCTTCCTCCTTGACCATTCATTTAATTTTTTTAAATCCTCATACATCATCCCTATGTAGTGAATAACTTAATATTGGAAATACTGAGCTATTTAACGTCAAAAATCGGTTCACTTTGTTTTGGTCCACCCTGTGTATACTGAAAACTTTATTGAAAGTCCGGCCGCTTAATGTATCTTACGAAAAGAACTCAGACAAGGACAGAAAGCCACGAATGGCTCAAATAAAATACCGTATGTTCTCTGTATTTCGGAATTAGCTTGGTAACCCGGAGTACCATTATAGCTGCGCTGCTGAGTGTTGCAGCTGCACGGGTTTGCAATTCGACCCAGGTTTCAAGTGACATTTCGCAGCGCCCCGCTCTTGATGCCGGAACAACATGTGAATTAAATTGGACATCATCAAACCCAACGAATTTTCAAAATGAGATTTACAGTAGTAATTACAGTACTGTAGTTTTAATGGGTTGCAAATTTCTGAAGCTCCTCTTGACTCAATGAACCAACCTGAGATGCCGCAGCTTCTGATGCACACGTGTGGGAACAAGTTTACGGTAATGGTAAAATACTGTTTTAGTAATTTTAATCTGTCTTTCAGTGTTTTGTTAAAGGGACTCCAAGACAAACTCTTGCGTTTAGATTGGGATCAGACGAGAAAAATTTTTTTTTTCAACGGAGAACGCATCCGGAAATTGTAAAGCATGCCATGCGTGTCTTGCGTTTTCAAGCGCAAAAATTGAAATAATTCTATAAATATCCAGGATTTCCATAGATTCCATGAACAACAAACTAGAACAAGGTTCGTTCTGCAGAAGTTATTCGAACTACTGTGATGAAATGAATGATGAAATGAAACTCTGAAATAATTCTAGAAATATATAGTATTTTTAGATTCCATGAACACCAAGCTAAAGCAATGCTCGTTCTGCAGAAATTATTGAAATTACTGTAATAAAATTAATGCGGTTATAAAATAAAAACTGAAATAATTGTATAAATATACAGGATTTCCGTAAATCCCATGATAACCAAGCTAAAACAAGGCTCGTTCTGCAGAAGTTATTCGAACTACTGAAAGAAAATGAAAATGTGAAATAATAATATAAATATACAGTTTTGTATATCCATAGATTCCATGCTAAAATAAGGCTCGTCCTGCAAAATTTTTTCAAACTAATGATGCAGAAATTACGTATACGTGTACATTTTTCAAAGTCGGTTAAAAAAAGGCTGAAAAAGGGCTGAAATTACATGTATTCTATTTTAATTTTAAATACGGTAGATTGCAGCGTTTCTAGGTCACGAGGGTTCTCGATATCTTATCAAGCGAAATTCTAGTTGACGCTGTAAATTAATTCGCTACGGAAGTACTCGGGGATTCGTTTCGCGAAGACGTGGTGACATCGACTGGCCTTCGGTACGTCGGCTCGTCGTCTTTTTAGAATCAAATGGCTTGAGTTAGGCGCGTCATATGCGGATTATGGTCGAATATGGGATGTTACAACGGATAAGGATTCCATCTTTGACACATCTCCGGATTTTATCTAGGCGGCAAACGTCGAAGCTTGGTGCCGCCTGATGCTGCATGGCGGTTGATACGGATCTTTATGGCGGACCGCATTCGGAAGAGAAAATAAAAATACAAACACGAAATATGAAATACTCGCCTCCATTTTGATGGACAAAATTTGCGTGTAAATTCGCTGTCGTCTTTTGGCCAGCTATTTTCAGCTGTTCCCTGTA